TTTTTTTTTTTTTTTTAATCCTCAACTGAGGATACTTTTTCCATTGCTTTACAGAGAGAGTGGAAAGGAGAGAGAGAGACATTGATATGAGAGAAACACATTGATTGGCTGCCTCCTGCACATGCCCCGACTGGGACCGGGGTTCGAGCTGCAACCGAGGTGCATGCCCTTGGTCGGAATCGAACCTGGGACCCTTCAGTCTGCGGGCTGATGCTCTAACCACTGAGCCAAACTGGCTAGGGCACCACCGTTTTTGCTGTACTCATATTTTCAAACCAGTTTCCCTTGAATCACTGATGTGCCTCAGGAGATGCCTTTGGGCCTCAGTGAGTAACAGGAACACAGGGAATCATGGCTCCTGATGGTCTCTTTGAGAGGTGAGTGGATGTGTGCGGGGGGTGGTAGGCAAGATGCAAGGATGGCCTTAGTTTTGAACTGGTGCTGGGCCACTGGACGTAGTAGCTGCGGGGAGGGTTTCTGCAAGCAGTCCTCACTACAGCTCTGACAGAGGGGGATCTGGGGGTGGGTGGGAGCAGATGGCTTGCCAGAGCTGTACTGTCACTTCAGGGTGGTGGGTGGGGCTCCACAACCGGATGTCCTGCTGCAGCTTAGAGTAGAGCCTCCAGCAGGTCAGGAGGGCAGGCTGCCACCAAGGAAGAGGACTCTGGGGTGAGTCTCTGGGGACCCCACAGTCACCACCCAGCAGCTCCCCATGCTGGCACCACCTATGGCATGTCACTTGGAATGTGGTTGTGTGGATGAGCAAACCAGGGTTTCCCCAGGGCCGGGCTTCTGCCATCCCTGTACCCATCATGTTATACAGTGATTGTCCCATTCACCTGCCTGTCACCCCCTTCGGCTCTGAGCTGGGAGAATAGAGACTGGCATTATTTCACCATGTCATTGCATTCTCTGGGTCTTGGCTTTCTTGCCGATAGCATGAAAGGGATGGATTACATGGGTGGTTCTCAAACTGGGTTCCTTAGGGCTCCAGGTTCCTGGGAAATACCATAGGACTGTTAGGGTTGGAGAGGATATGCCAGGAGTTGAAGGGGAAACACAGTCTCTACTGCTTCAATAGTGTCCTTTATGAGACTCTGAGAGGACTTTGGTTTAATAGTGTTTTAAAGAGGTATGCTGCTAGAAACAAATTTGAAAACCTCCGGGTTAGAGATCCTTCTGTGAATTATATGCGAACGCATATGCTACCCTAACAGTCTGTGATTCCACTGACCCTGAGAGAAGGCACGTGCCCCCTTCACGTCCTGGTTCACCCCACATCGCCAGCCCTGTATTCCATGCGGCCTCTCCCCACAGCCCCAGCTGATCACCTTTGAGCCATTGGTCATGGGGCCTGGAATCCTGGGGAGTCTGGTTCACATCCTCCTGTGCCAGCCTGGCCTGGCCCCGTTTCAGTTCTGCCCCCCAATCACTGGGCTTTGCAGAGCTCGCCTGACCTTGATGAAGGCCATGGGCTCCATCCTGAGGGCCCACCAAAAGGTTTTAAGTTTCCTAACTTCTGCAGCTGCGGAAGTCCCGGCTTTCCACTCCACTTCCCTTATTTTTGGGTCAGTGTGTTCTCTGTCTGTTCTCTGATGTCGTCTCAGTATCTGGAACAGCACCTGGCACATGGTAAGTGCTCAATAAATACGTGACTGAAGAAGACAGAGGCAACCCGGCTGGCACGGCTCAGTGATCCAGGAG